ACCCACATGGCATCTCACAACCATCCAAAACTCTAGTTCCTGGGACCCTGACACCCTCCTCTGTGGACACTGGTAAAAGTGGTGCATGTGCAAGTATGCAGGCAAAACACTCATACATAGAAAATAAAAATGTCCTTTGTTAAAAAATTACTTTATGCGTCTGTAAAATGCCTTTTGTGCAAACGATGTGAGGACTGTTGGGTCGCAGTACATTTCTACATCTTAGGTGCAGAGTATTTCATTGCTTTCAGAATTTCAAAAGAGACCTGGACACCCGAACGTTTATTTCTGTACGTCTCTTGTTTACAGCATTTATACATGCAGTGACAGGTTTAACCATCTTGTGACAAGTGACTGTGTGATAACGGATGAGTATGCACTTGCAGGTCACAGGGTAGTAGAAGCAATCCATAATTCCTGATACGCTATTGCAGTGGCTAAATTGACTTTTGTGATCTGGCTTAGGTAACTTAGCTGTCCCCAGGCCCACCTCTGTTGGGCTGCTCAGACATTTTCACTACCAAGTTAGTTGAGATTTCCCAAAGGTGGATGAATACACAAGGAATGACTTTTTTCTTTCTTTCTCTTCTTAGCTCATGTAGGACAAAATTCCTGAGACGGCTTAGAAACCTTAGGAGACCAAGAATTATTTGGAGTGCTGAGTTTTGCTCCTTCCTTGGCTTCTACTTAAGTCATGAACTTTCTGAGCAGGTCACTTTCTGTCTAACATTCCTCTTGTCCAAAGATGGGCTGCACTAAATTGTTCTTTCTAAGTGTGATATTCTAGAATTCTGGCCAGATAGAAATAACATTTGGAGATAGAATGTGCTTTATGATAATCAGGATTTTACTATGCTACAAAACCAACAACATAACATCCTGTATCACACACACTTACAGTAGCTGGTGCACAGCGCCACTCCCCCTGTATCCATCATGAGGACCTGAATTGGTGTCCATCCTGAATTTGTTTACCCTGTGAAGCAGGGTAAAGGTCTTTGTCATATATTTCAGCCATCTTTATTTTCCATTCATGCTGGTACGCATGCTCCCTTCCTCTGGCCTATCTTACCTCACAGAAAGGTCATGTTGTCACCAAGCTGCACTACCAGAGGCCCTGGCGCTTGCAGTACCTGGCCAGCTGGGAAGTCCTAGAATCTGCTGGGGACTGGGCTGGGCAGAGAGGGCAGTAAGTGCTCTTTCACCTTTGACCCTCTTCTCCCCACATTGCCAGCAAGCTCTGGTCTGCAGCCTGTCTTAAAGTAGAGAGTGAGGCTGGAATGCTGTTGTGGCACCTTGAGAGTGGCAGGGAATGCTGATTCGGACCGTATGTTATGGCCAAATAGGAACTGTTAAAGTATGTGTGTCTTTCATATCGCTCTAAGACTGAATGGCTGGTACTGCTTTCATGCGTCATTCCTTTATCCTCAGAATACATAACAAGAAATCCCAGGTTTTATAATTAAGTATCCAGTTGAATAGCGTTAAGGACATTCCCACTGTTGTACTTCCATCACCCCATCCACCCCCAAGATTGATTTCCTCTCTTAATTGGAAGTTCTACCTACTAAACAGTAACTTCCAATTCCCTCTTCTAGGGCCTGGTAACCATCCTTTGTAATGTTTTAATGGTTTTAAATAGTTGAGATAGGTGGATCTATACAACATTTGTCCTATCATCATAGTATTTTAAAAAGCTACCCATCAGATTTCTGTGAAATGTAGCAGTGTGTCCAGGTGGTCACCAGCATCCTTGAGTCATACCATGGAAGGGAAGTGCATACCAGTTTCTCACTGCCGGCTAAGGTTATGCCGTCAACCAACCAAGTTTGTTTATACTTCTACAACTGCTAAATTCTGTTAGGGAACCTATTTATCTTAGTTGGTTTCCTTTTGAATTCAGAATTCTAAGAACTAAGTCACAGTAGAAGAAAATAGGTTTGGGTATTCTTATTAGTAAAAAGAATTTCTGTCAGCTTATAAGGAATGTTTTATTTGGTAGTAATGACTAATGTAAATTTCTAATAAGGCAGAAGAAGCAAAAGATAGAATATATGGTGTAGATTTGGTTTTAGGCTTGTTTTCTACACAAAAAGCTTTCCATGTACATAATCAAAATGTCCGAGGTAAAAATAGGCCATTTAGCCTGGTATGGTTGTTCCTGCCTTTAAGCTCAGCAGTAGGGAGGCAGAGACAGGTGGGTTTCTGAGGCCAGCATGGTCTACACAATGAGACACTGTTTCAAAAAAGCAAGCAAGCAAGCAAGCAAAAAGCTGAGACAGGCTGTTTATGCAGAAATACAAATTGACTTTGTAGCTGCACAGTGGAGTGGAGGGCCACGCTCAGCCTGCCATCATGCTGGAGTATGGATTAAAGCAACAGTAACTATGTTCCTCCCTTTCCTTCTAGGTGAGCCCAGGCTGAGTTTCAGAAAGTCATTTTGACTTTATTCTCAGGTGCAGATGAGTGGGTGACCAGGCCCCAAGGTGTTAGGCTCTGTCACAGGGCACTTTAACTTGAAAACATTCTATGTGTGTAACCATATCCAAACATCAATTGAAAAATAGCAGGGGATACAGTCCTTTAAGGAATTGCTGTCCTCTGTCTTCCAAGAAAGTAACTGTGAAATGTGCGTGCAAGGTAGATTATGTGATTGGCAAGCCAGTTCAACATTAAAATATCAGTCAGAAAACAGAAGAGGACTGAAATGCAGCTCTAGTTTTGGTGAGACTTTTATGGTTCTGCCAGAAGTCGAGTTGCATTGGCTCTTGCAAAGAATGACAAGTTTTGTGTGAATGTTAGTGGCCAGAGAAATAAAAAGCAAGCAATCCAGTACAGTGCAGGAGGGAGGCTCTCTTATGTGGAGCAAATGGGGTAGACGTGTTTGGGGCCTGATTAGACGGTCATCTTTGGGATTCTGTTCTTTTGAGGTCGCATTATGTTGCCCTGGCTGGCCTAGAACTCAGAGATCCTCTTGCCTATGCCTCCTGAGCACAGTTCTGGAATTAAAGCTGTGTGACACTGCTCCTGTCTGTTTCTCAGTGAATTAAGCTCCAGGGTCTACAGAGAAAATGGTTTCATTTGCTTGTTTCCTTTGTGACTCTGAATTTTATTTTATACATTTTAAAGCATTCTGAAGGAGCAGAGTGCTAGCTCAGTGGTTTAGAAACACAGGCTGCTCTTCCAGAGGACCTGGGTTCTATTCCCAGCAACCACATGGTGGCTCAAAACTGTGTGTAACTCTAACTCCAGAGGTTTGCTACCCTCTTCTGACCTCAGCAGGGACCTGGCCTGCAAGTGGTGCACAGACATACATGCAAGCAAAACACTTATAAAATAGAAGTGAATCACTTTTAAAATGCACATTCTGATGGTACATGTCTGCAGTTCTGGCTATTTGCCGGACTGGGCAGGTGGATCTCTTGAACTCACAAATTCAAGAACAGTTTTGACAATACAGTGAGACCCCATCTCATAAAAACAGAAAAACCAAAAGTATCAATCTGAAAGGAGATCCACAGCCTTCATCCTGCTGGAGGGGTTCATGATTTATTTATAAGAGACTCAGAATCACAACATGCAGTGGGAGAGTGACCAGACTGGGGGTGGCTGGGGCATGCCATTCACCGGAATCTCTGTAGTCACCTTTTTGAAAGATGCTTTGCCCAAGTGGGGTTTATTTATGAATTTGTTTTTGTGTTTAGTTTTTTGTTTTTAAATTGTTAGTGGCCTTATCTAGAGCAGTTCCTGCAGTGATTCTGGCAAGTTGTGTGTGTGTGTGTGTGTATGTGTGTGTGCACATGCATGTGTGCATGTGTGTGTGTTCAGACTTAAGTGAATCCCATTTCAGTGGTCTCAGGTTCTTCACTGCATTTCAAGCTCACGAGGCTGGCTGGCTCTCAACTCTTAATACTGCTGGAAGCAGCTAAATGTGCATGTGTGTTTCTGGCCAGGGGCAGACTTTCATTTTAATTGACACTTTCTTTTATATACCAAACCATGGATGCCAAGTGTGTTCCTCACTAGCAGTTGTAAATGTTAAATCTATACATGGCTTCACCACCTCCTGTCAAGATAAATGCAAGCTTCGTTTCCCCCTCTGAGGAGTTCAAAGGAATAATTTATCCCTGGTTTGTTTGGGAAGATGTTTGCAGCCAGCCTCACATGGACCCAGCTGCAAAAATTTCCAGTGCCTTAAGCAAGCTCAGCAATTGTTTTTTGTTCCTGTGAAACGTTGAGCAGTCGGAATGAGGATTCAGATTGCTCACTTGTTCAAATCCTGTGACACACAAGTGGCAGCCATAAAGGCCTAGGTGGGAGTGTGTTGATGCCCTCAAGTTCAGTCAGACACTCTTGAAAGCTAAACAGGTATTTACACAGAGAAAGGAAATTGTTTGGGAATCCCAGGATGTGGGAGAGGGAAAATGGTTTTTAATACATTAAATGGTTTAATACATTAAACTCATTTTTGAATGAGTTCCTTAGAAATAAGAAGGCTCATGTCTTCTTCCCCATGATCCGGGTCTCTGAGCTGCGCTGTATACATCCGCCAGTAAAAAACAAACAAACAAACAAACAAACAAACAAAACCACCACAGGGGCAGGTTTAATTTTTAATACTTTATCGCTCAATGTAAGGAAGGTTTGCTGTTAGGCTTTGAGATCGTTTCTTCTAATAACCAAGTATGGTAGTCCGTCAGTTGCAGCTGTCCTGGCTGCTTTCTGTGCCCAATCACAGCAGTGCCTCCCCTTCAGTTAGGTCCGTGCTCTTTTCAGAATGAGCCTGTAAAGTAGGTGGGGAAGTTACCTTCACTGTGTAGACAGGGACTTTTGCATCATAGAAATGAAACATTTCTGTTCTTGTACTAAGCAGAAGCAGTACTGGAATCTTGGCCTTAGGATCCTTGGTCCTGCCTTCTTTAAAGTGTACTGGCCACATTACTAACAGTTGTGAGCATGCCGTCTCTATCACCGACAGAATGGGCTTATTCGTCATGTTCTGGTACAGGTTGACTAAGTTTCTGCGTGAAGCCTCAGGTTCTAAGCTTGCTTATAGAATGTATATTCGAGGAGCTGTACATTAAAAGAGCCCACAGTCCTTGAGGTTTTCTTTGATGATAATGTCTGTGACTGCATCGAACACAAATTTGACGTTCTGTGTGTCCGTAGCACAGGTCATGTGACTGTAGATTTCTTTGACATCTTTTCTCATGTTGAGGTCAAGGAACTGACTCTTGATATAATTCCCAGCATCCTCATAGGAGTTGTTTCCTAGTTAAAAAAAAAAAAAGTAACAAAAAAAAGTAATGTAGAATAAATGAACCTGTAAATGTTGAGGTTTTAGGTGACTGATTTGGTCCTTGGAGTATTGTGTCAGGCCAGTGGCTCTCCACCTGTGGCTCCCGATCCCTTCACAGGGACTGAATATCAGATATTTACATTCTCAACCATGACAGTAGCAAATGAAGCACAATTACGTACAATTAGTAGTACAATTATGAAGTAGCAGTGAAATAACTACGGTTGGGGGTCACCACAACATGAGGATCACAATGTTAGGAAGATGTGGAAGCACTGCATTAGACTTTCTGGTAAGTGTCCCTGGAACAGTCAGTGGCTCTGGTGTATCTGCTCTATTCCAGACACATCTGAACTTGAACCACTCATCCCTTAAGGCAAGCTCCTTTGTGTGTTTTGGCCTATGGATGAGACAATCCCATCACCATGTTACTCTTGCTGGAACTTACCATCATACTCTGGAAAACAGATACTGAGGTGGACTTTCTTAATTTTTTCCTCGAAGAGGTCCTTCTTGTTGAGAAAGAGAACAATGGACGTAGCCGCAAAGAACTTGTGGTTACAGATACTGTTGAACAGATGCAAGGACTCATGCATGCGATTCTGGAGAGGAGACATTGTGGGAAATATCAGATTAGCTTGTGGGGCGGATGTCTGTTTATTCCTGTTCTGACTGAACAGACCAGTGTTCCAAATGTAAAGGGAAAGCAAGGCAACAGACCGTGGTTTTAGTGTGGTCTGTCTGTCGTTTAAATAGCTCTGATTTGGTGAGATTATTAACATCTCAGAGTCTCAGTTTCCTTAAAGAGTTATGAGATGTGAGGACACTTGTCTGTGGTAGTAGCTGGCTACAGGGATATGTAAATGTGGTGGAGATGGTTAGCTGCCAGGGTACAAGTAACACCCGTAGTGCCACTGCTAGGCTGGAACCAGGGCCACATGACCTCTTTGTCACTTGCATCTCCAAGATGACTTTGCTGGGTTCCTGTCAGGAGATCCCAAGTTTCAGCAGGGGGAAGACTGTGACATGGATTCTCTGGCCCTGGTGTCACAGGTAAGGGCTGGAGGATTTCCCAGTGCCATTCCACCGACTCTTCTTCTCTCATAGCTACTTTGACTTAGAAAGGGAGACATGCTGTATGTCTGCAGAGTCCAGAGTTAGCCAGTGCCCAAGTCAAGTAACCCTACTGGTTAAAGAGAAGGAATAACAACCAAAGCTAGAATGACAGGAGGATAGACCAGAGCTGGAGTGACAGGAGGATAGACCAGAGCTAGAGTGACAGGAGGATAGACCGGAGATGGAGTGACAGGAGGATAGACCAAAGCTGGAGTACCAGGAAGAGAGAAGCTGTGCTTTCTGTTGGGTAGCTGGCCATCATGGAATACATGTTTATGTGCAATTAGTGTTTTCACAGCTTTGACTTTTTATCTCAAACTCAAGAAAAGGGAACTGGCACAAAGGTAGGCAACATTAGTCCTCCCTGCACTGTCTGTTCATCCGTCTCCGTCCACTTAGCATCATTTCCTCTGGCTTTGTGATGGTAATCATACCTTGATTTCTAATCTCAGACCAACTCAGTAAAGTTGGAGCTTTGCAGCACTAACCTAGAACCTACAGCAGAAAGGGGGTTTTCTGTGGTTACAAATACGTGCGAGACAGACCACTAGGAGATAACTAGGCTGCCAGCGTGAGCTAGTTGGGGCAGTGGATGCCGCGGTTTGGAGGAGGCTCAGGAGGAAAGCCAATCCCACTGAAACTAAAGGCCGCTCACCACTTCGTCATCCTCCACCAGCACCATGTCGTAGGCACTGAGAGCCGCACAGAAAATGATGCAGGTGACGCCCTCAAAGCAGTGGATCCATTTCTTCCTCTCCGATCTCTGTCCTCCCACATCAAACATCCTAAGGGAAGAAACAGCTGTTCTCATGAGTGTGGCCAGGTGTGACTCAGTTGCCTTTGATATTCACCCTGAGGGGTGGCCACTTGGGGCCAGTTAGTAGCAAATCAGAAATAGGAGAGGCAGAAGGAGGGGAGGACAGTAATTAAAACGGGGCATCAGCAAAAACCAAGAAAATGCGCTGTGAGACCTGAGATGCCCCAGGGAACTCAGTGCTGACCTGAAATTCAAATCTTTAACAGAAAACTTGGTCTCGATGATGCCTGTTGTCTTGACTCTGGATCGAAGCACATCTTGCTCACTAGGGAGGTAGTCAGGGTCTGTAATCCGGTCCAGCTGGTTCAGGTAGCTATCAGAAAAAGGTGGCTTTGGTGATGGTACCGTCTCCAAAGTAAAGAGTAAAGGAGGCAAACGGTCTCCTCATACGTCACAGAGATAACACAGTGTTGAAAGTAGGACTGGAGTCCACAGCCCTGACTCCAGGATTCTGCAAAGGCCTGAGAGCTTAGAACAGGTGAGGGCTGAGGGCCACACCCTGATGAGGCAAGTGCTCTGTTCCCCTGATTCAAGTTTCTAGACAGGAAAGAGATCTAAAGGGGCTTTGAAGACAGGAGACATCATGACAATGTGTGGACCCTATCCCCTGAGCCAAACTGGGGAATGGGAACACATTTTGAGAGTTGGAGATACTGAGACATTAAGTATTTAGGTGTGATATGATTTCTTCTTCATGTTTTAAGTACATAATGAAATTCTTAGGGCGCAGTGATAGCTGCAGAGTACTCAACGTAACCCAGTGGGAGGGGTGTAAAGTGAACTGAGAACGGCCGTGGATCAAGCGCGAACTAGATGGTTCACTGTACCTCACCTTTGCATGTTTGGAAGTTTCCATAAGACCATGAGAGTGTTTAGGAAGGGTAGAAAGAGGACAGATGTGAAATAAAATCACTTACTGTGGAGAGGGAAGGAAAATTGACATGAGTGTCTCACGTATTCCATGCGTTTCAACATTTAAATTCTCACTAAATCTTAGAAGACTTGAGATTCATGTGCCCACTTTACAGATAGAGAAAAACTTACGAGGAATGACTTGGGAGACTGAGACAAAAGGACTGAATTTCAGGTCAGCTTTGGCTACAAAGTAAAACTGTCACAATCCAAACCAAGGAAGCCCTGTGGCTTCCTATAAGAACTCAGCTTCGTAGTCATATGAACCTGGACTCAAGTACAGCCTCTGCTGCTTGTGCACCTTGGCCGAGTTAACTGACATCCCTGGGCTGCAGGCTTTCTACCAGAAGATAGGGCTGACACACCTTGAAGGCTTGTGTACAAACAGATAAAGGGCCCTGAGACATAGCACATGTCACGTACCGAGCAGGGTCAGAATCTTAGTAAGGGGAAGATTGCAGAAACTAAATAACATTATTTCAAGATGAGGTTCAGGGCGTAAACATGGGGCTGCTTGGTCCCACAGCTCATGCCCACTTCTGATACTGTACTGTTGGGGGTTGATAACTCTGTCCCTTATCTTTTTGGAACCAGCTTTGCAAAGTTGATTGTCTCTTAGTGTCTGACCATCTTTCTTTGGTTTGCCTCTTGAGATAAGGCCAAGGGCTGCTGAGCAGAGCCCCTGGTTTGAATGTTGTGTCTTCAGCTTCCTAGGCCAAAAGGAATCATTGTAAAGGACTCTAAAATAGTAGACTGGCAAATGTCTCCATAGGCTTAAGTCCAGTTGGTGGGTCTGCAGCTCCCACTGCCTGGAACTTAAGGCTGGGTTAGATTTCTTCTCAGCATCATCCCACTGCCTCCCCCAGGGTCTTACTAAGATGTCTTCTGAGTGTCATCCCCCTGCCTCCCCTGAGTCTTACTAAGATGCCGAGTCATTGAGCTGGAACTCTGCAGCTCTGTCAAAGCAGGCTTGAACTCCACCGTCCTTCCACAACTTCCTGATGACCTCCACCAGCTCCGGAGGCATGGTCCCCTCCTCGGTGGAGTCAGCCAGGTTGTTGAGCTGTCTCCCGGCATCCTGTATAATCCAGAAATCTGGCTGAGAATGAGCTAAGAGTAGGTCTGTGGCTTCCCAGGGGGTTTCTGGGAACTTACTGAGTGGAAAGCATTTTGCATTGCTCCCAACGCCTGAGGTAAGCCTGTCTCGATGAAGGAGCAGTTTAAGGAAGCATGCTAATTAATTTCGAGCATGTTCTCCAGATGTAGCTAGCCCTGGGATGCCTAGAGGAGAGTCCTAGGTGCTTCCTGCAGGTCTTAGACTTCAGATGACCCTGAAAGTGGACTGCTAGAAGATACAGGTCCTTTGCTACAAGGACTGGAAATTTAAAAGCTATATTGGCCCTGAAATGCACAACCCAGGAAAAGGCTAGCTTATAAAAGTCCTATAGCTCAGGCAAAACCCCAAGGAGAATATTTTAGTAATAAGTTAAGATTAAAAGGCAAAAAGATGCTGGGAGTCAGTTTTGCAAACATTTGTTATAAAGGTAGGAGTTGCTTACTCTTCTAGGACCAGGATGATTGGAAGTTCAGCAGATGCCCTTCGAGTTACATAGAACTTTTTTCTCACCGACTTTCCTTGTGGTTTGTCGGTCTCTGGTCTACTTCTTCTCCTGTTTCCACCCTGAACCAGATAACATTAATCACGTACCGCACAACTTGGTTCTGCATAGTCAATGCCTAGTGTGGACATGGCTCTGATGATAGCCAGGATGGACTGCAACACGTTCCCATAGATGACAGATTTGAACTCTAGGCATTCTTCGGGTGAGTAGCCATCCTGGTGAATGATCCTTCAAGGAACAGACACTAAACTTTTAGCTGGACCTGAGGAACCAGAGCTAAGGGATTAGGACTCTTTGGGGGATAAGGGTGGGTATAAGGGTCATAGGGAACTGCCTGTACTCCTACTGCTGTCCCCAAGTGCAGGGTGAGGGAAGGAACATTGGAGAGTAGGTCATTTAGTCCAGGGTCCCTTAGACCTAAGGACCCTTCTGCCCAACACCAACACTGGCTCTACTGCCCACCCCACCCCACCCCCAGTCCTCCCGTGGTTATGTTTCTGCTCACTTCATCTGTTTGACGATAGTGCTCTTCCCTGACTCTCCCGCACCTGGAAGGGAAATAGTCACACTGTCAAGTTTCTACCAGTTCTCTCCAGTGGTCCAGAGGATGGTGTGAGAACAGTGCTTTCTGGGAGACACCCTGAGCTCAGGCCATTCAACTGGATTTAGAGCAGTTTCTCCCCATTAGCACTATTTACAGTGAGGGGGCTGCCTTTTTTTTCCTCCTTTTTTTTTTTCTGGTGGTGGGGAGAGGTTGGGACAGGGTTTCTCTGTATATCTCTGGCTGTCCTGGAACTCATTCTGTAGACCAGGCTGGTCTCGAACTCAGTGATCTGCTTGCCTCTGTTTTCTGAGTGCTATGATTAAAGGTGTGCACCAGTTTAGAACTGTCCCTGGTCTCTACCCACTTAGAGGCCACTAGTATCTTACTCTTTGTAACAACCAAGTATCTCCAGACATATCTAGTAGCCCCTGGGACTCAGAGTCTCCCCATTGGGAATCACTGATAGACTCATAGAAATTCCTTTAAAGTATTCACACTGCCTATTTTTGACTCAGGCAAGTAGTCTTGGGTAGGACCGGTAAAAGCTGGGCCTCTTCGTTGAAATTCTTTCCCTCTACAATCTTGATGGTGTCTGTTATTGGCTAAAACATTCTAATGTCCTCAGTCAGGCTACCCTCTTGCCCATAAAGAACTCCCGATCTTCCAGGCCTCTCTACCAACTGGCCAGCCTGACATGACCCCTCCGTCTCCTCCCACTTTGCCTGTGCCTGTTCCCTCTAAGCTGCTTACCCTGAACCTAGACAATCTGCTTAGGCTTAAAAGATCTGTCTCTGTGTCTCTGTCCCCTGTGTGTAATTCTTGGATTCCTTAGAGCCTGGGTCCAGCTTACAAATAGAGGCCCCTTCAATGTGTCCTTGGGCTTTGCTGCTCCAATACCCCAGGTTCTTTACAGACAGCCATCCCAGGAAGCCAGCTTGCTGCTACATAGAGCCAGTGATCACACTTCAGAAGGACTATTGTTGGTTTTGTTTCTTGTGGGTTTTTTGTTTTTTTTTTAAGCCAGGTGTCAGTTTCTTATTTTCTCTTTGAAACCATGATCCGTTTCCCTGCCTGACCCACTGAGATGCTTTTATCATCTGCACCAGCCAGGGATCTGCTCAGAATACATCAAGTTGATGAAGGTGCCAGATGTCAGAGGCTTTAGAGCAATTACTTAATAGAAAGCCAGGAGGGGGTTTCTGTCGTTAAAGACTCCTCCTTCCCCATATCCCTCCCCTCCCTGCCAGGTTCCTCTGCTTCCAACATCTATCTTGAAAGCAAGAAGGATCCAGTCTACTTGGCAAAAACCAGTAGGCTTATCCTTGAGACTGTTGGGATCGTGTGGTGGTGCTTCACGAATCCGTTGGTAAGAGACAGTTCTGTATCTTTACAGCACAGGTCTCTGACTGCACATCTGGTGTGTGCCTGCATGGTCGGGGGTTCTTGGTAGTTGCTGAACCAAAAAGTGTTGCTGCAGTTGGATAGTCCAGCCTTGTCTTTGCACTATTCATAGTTCAAAGGAAAGTAAAACAATTCTGGGAACCCTGACATTGTGGGTCTCCTTGGGGCGACTGTGCAGGCTCCATAGTAACCCTGCTAGCTCTACGCTCTGCTTGGTTTCTTAGCTGAACCAGAGTAAGAGGAACACCCGTTCATCTGCTCATGTCACTCACCAAGCAGCAGCAGCTTGACAGTCTTGGCTTCCTTGTCAGCATCCTCCTGCAGCTTCTTCTCCAGCTCCCTGGACCTCTTGGCAAGTTCTTTGTCCTCAGCACTGATGCCACTCCCCATCTCTGCTGTCTCCTCAGAGAAGGGATGTTTTCTCTGGCTCTTAAATTTTTCCTATTATCTGTGAGATAAAGAAAAAGGAAAAATAGGTTAGGATAGAGAACCATTCTCTTGCTCCCTTAAAAGCTGGGAACGAGAGTGTGAACTGGTGGTGCTTGTACCCTGCCTACCTTGGCTTGAGATTCCCTACTCCAGCTGGAGAACTACTTCTTAATCCAGGGATTGTTCCCTTTATGTCTAGCAGTATGACAGAGCAAGCCAATTAAAAGCTTTGTCAGTCAGATGAAGGGCAAAGACTAACATTTTTGTTTGTCTGTTTGTTTGGTTGGTGTTTAGTGAGGGACATGATCTGGGTTCTGACACAGCAGGAAAGAAGGCAGGTGCTGGGGCTCTGGGAGGAAACAGCTACCTCCTACCTTCTGAAGAGCTCACCTAAAACCCTCTGGTCCTGTGGACTCACTTGCACTGGAGAGCTGAAGGGTAAGGGTACAGCCCAAGTTGAGTCTTCAGATAAGGTCTTGGTTTTAAGAGGTCAAAGGGACAGTCCTGACAAAAGACATGTTCTGCTCCAGGAGCTATTACCGTTCCTTTGTGCTGGCTCATCTCTTAGGATGCCTATCTTGTCCTTTGTGTGTGTGTGTGTGTGTGTGTGTGTGTGTGTGTGTGTGTGTGTGTGTGTTTGAGACAGGATCTTACTGAGTACCCCCAGCTTGCTCAGACTAGGCTAACCTTGAACTCAGATCCATTGTTTTCCTCATTTATTTCCCACTGTATGTTTCTTCTACTCAGGGACCAAATCTGTTCTACCTCTGAATTTGTGGTTTACTAGTAGGTCCTCATCAGATCTCTGGTCATTGAAGACATGAAGGACAGAGTATGCGGCAGAAAGATTGTGTGCGCTTCTTCTCGGTCCCCATCGGCTTCACTAGGTCAAGTAGACTTCACTGACGTTTTGTGTGGGTAGACATCAGGGTCACCTCACACAGCAAACGTCTCCCTTGGACAGATGGATGGCTGGGTTAGCTCTGCCCCTCACCCTCACCGCCCACTTCCCTGGGAGTAAGGATGAGACCAAGCTGTCGCCTCACAGACACTGAACACACCTCATCGGTCAGTTCTCTGTGTCAGTAGTTTCCTTTAAATGGGCCTTTCCAGGGCAGCCCCCTCACCTAGAGCACTTTAGCTCAGTGGCTCTCCACCTTCCTGACGCTGGAACTCTAATACAGTTCCTCATGTTGGATTACTCCCATTTTGCTACTGTTATGAATCTTAATGTAAATATCTGATAGGCAGGATATCTGATCTGTGGCTTCTGTGAAAGGGTCTGGATCCACAGGTTGAAAAACACTGCTTTAGAATGTTGCTGACTCATATGTAATGCAACGACCAGCTGCATTGTAGACCTGGAGTTTTGCAAGAAATGCACTCTCAGACCTCAGCTCCAAAAGTCCAATAAATAATCCACATTTTAACAATATCTCAGTTAACCCGCATTCAATGTTGGGAAGAGAGAATTGTCCTAAGGAACTGTTTCTCCCCAAACTTGCTTACTCCTTATGTTTTCTAAAACATGGTTGGAAGATCACGTGCTTTTCAAAAATGTCAATACTTGGAAATATTTGTAAAGGGTATGTATGTTTTAGAATCTTTAAATTTCAGTAACAGTGTTAATTCTAGAGCCTGAAATGAAGCTAATATAAATGATTATCATCATCTGGCAAGTTTGAAAAGTCTGCCCTACAAAAATACAATTTGATGGATATATACTGGCAATTACTAGAAAGATCTTTGTTGTTTTTTAAGCTATGTCCAAGTAGCTTAGCATAAGCTTAGACTTGTATAAAGAAGGATGAGCTTAAAATTCTGATCCTCCTGCTTCCACTTTCCAAGTACTTCGATTACAGTTAAACGCCCCCCCCCCCCAGGAGTGTAAACCCAGGGCTGTGTGCATACGAGGCAGGTTCTCCTAGAATTCACTCTGTAGACCAAGCTGGCCTCAAACTCAGAGATCCTCCTACCTCTGCCTCCCAAGTGCTGGAACTAAAGGCTTGCTCTGCCACCACTACCACCTGGTTGTTTTAAAAGATTGATTAAATTGGTCTGGAGTGCAGTCTAGGCATCAGACTTAAGTTTCTTCCCAGGTGATTCCCAGGCACAGCCGAGAATCCTAAAGAACCCTAAAGATAAACATGCTGCCGTCTTTTAAAGCCAAAATTATGTGACAGTTGGGTAAGAAAAGGAGAAGCTAGGTGCCCACTAACCCGACAGTGGAACCTGGAACCACGGGTTAACATCTTTCTCTGTCCTCCTTTCTGTGAGTATCTGGGAGACCGGGCTCCAGCTGCGGAGGTGCTTGCCGGGGCAATCCTGCTTTTTCCCCATCCCAAATTGGCAAGTGCTTAGTGACTTAGGGGAAAACAAGAGTCTTTTTGAAATTGTGACTGTTTGGAATCTTGGCTAGGAGGTTCCAGTAATTATACCTCACCACCAGCCCTACCCTGCCCTGCCCACAGCATTGGTAACTTACTCCAAGACCAGAGCTGTGCTGATGGTTGCCCTGTTCAAAAGGGCCCTGGCAGCAAAGGACTGTGCTGGGCCTGGGCCTTTGCTGCAGGTGGCTCTGCAGCTCATTTCAGGTCACATAGCTTAGTAAATAGAGGTAATCTCCCTTTCCCTAACCCCATCCCGCTGGGTGAGAAAAAGAACAGTTGAGTGAATGGGGAAGCTGGACAATGGTGGGCCTGCTCTATGAGAGAAGCCACTAGCTTAATTCACATGGGGCGGGGGTGGGGAGCTTCTGCTTGGTCTGTGGCTGCTGCTGGAAGCATCCCATCTTCATGTTCAAGTTGAAGGATTCTTGGCCCTCCCCTAGCTGCTGAGGGTACAGCGACCTCCTGCTTTCCCTCTGGTTGTCACATTTGATTATTAAATTTAGGGACAGTGTTCTGGTAAAGAGGGCAGGGCACAGGAAGAACAGTGCCTGTCCTAGAAGTAACAGAAGCATAGAGTAGTGATCCCCTCTGCACGAGGGTGTGTGGCAGCACCTTGGGTGTTTGATTCACAGCCTTAGATGGCTGTATCATTTTGAGTGAAAGCAGTTGTTGTTTCCTGAGGAATGTGGGCATGTTTCCTAGATGAAGGAGATTTCAGGATCTGCCTCACAGTTAGTGAGAAGCTGTACCCCAGATGGAGTGTGGGACATTGACACAGGAAAAGCTGCGTTTGGGAACTTACAGTCCAGAGGAGGAGGCTGAGGAAAGCAGAGTAACAATTAAAGGGTTGGTGCTACTGTGGGGAATTCAGAACTGTTGAAAACCTCGCTCCCACCCCCTGGAAGGAGAGGCAATTATATACACATCTATTGTGATTTTAAAAAGAGAGAGGGAGAGAAAGGGAGAGAGAGTGAGAGAGAGTGAGAGAGAGTGAGAGAGAGTGAGAGAGAGTGAGAGAGAG